TCCATAACTTGTCTCTTTACCCTGTTTATTGCTTCTTTTGCTGTGCAGGAGACTTTTGGTTTGAGGCAATCTCATTCATCTGTTTTTGTTTTTTTCCTCTGAACTTTTGAGGTCATATCTTTAAAAAAAAAAAAAAAGAAAACAAATGGCCCAGATTAATATCATGGAAATTTTCCCCATGTTCCTTTCAAGTAGTTTCAGGTCTTACATTTAATTCTGTAACCATTTTGAATTGATTTTTGTGTACAGTATGAAATGGAATTTAAGTTCCTTCTTTTGCATCTGGATATCCAGCTTTCCCAGCACCATTTCTTGAAGACTGTCTTTTCCCCATTGTGTGTCCTTGTGTGTATTTTTATCTGTATATCCTGTTTCAGTTTTTCAGCTGTTTTAATACCAGTATCATCTTGTTTTGATTGTTGTAGCTTTGTAGTATGTTTTGTAGATGTCTCTGGCTTTTCTCATTTTGTTCAAGATTGCTTTGGCTATTTAGAGCCTTGGGATTCTGTATGAGTTTTAGTGTTGTCTCTGTTTCAGTGAGAAATATCATTGCTATTTTGAGAGGGATTGCATTAACTCTGTAGATCACTTCAGAGAGTACAGACATTCTAGCAATATTAACAAGGGATATATTTCCACTTATGTCTTCTTTGATTTATTTCATCCACATTTTAGTTTTTGGTGTACAGATCTTCTTCTATTTGGTTAAATTTACTTCTAAGTATTTGATGTTCTTGTAGCTACTATAAATGGGATTTTTCCCCCTGCTTTCTTTTTCAGACAGTTCATTGTTCCATATCTCCTTCATGCTCATATTGTTACAAATTATCTCTGCACATTAAGTGCTCATCAACATAGACTCATAATTACCATACTATGCAGATACATTTTAAATTAAATATGAGAAAGAATGAGTAACAAACAAAAATTAATTTACTCTTTTATGCTTCCTAGTGTTGATTATTTCTCAGTATGGATTTCATATTTCTTTGCTACCTGACCCCTTGGCTTTCCCATGCATTCCTCCTATCTAATTTATCTTCTTTCCCTACAGTTTTAGACATCCTTTCATTTTATTCTGTAAGCCTGTAAGAATTTCACATGTGCAACCTCTGCTGTCTTCCTGGTTGCCTTTCCTCTCTCCCCTCCATCTAAACACACTGTGAAGGCTTCTATTTCCCATACTATGGGAAAATGGTCCATTTGAAGGCAAAAAGACTTTAAAAATGTCACATTTCTCATATCTCCAGGAGGCAGAAGCAGTAACCTCTAGAATGTCTGTTTGACTCAAGTCAATTGTGCATAGTTCACAACCACTAAATAAAGCTGTTGCCCCCATGAGCAGACATTGGGTTCCAGTAGGGAGGTCATAAAACATAAGGTAGACTTAGTAATGGGTTTCTGGTAGGAGTAGACCACCAGGGCTGGCCATTAACACAACATTATCCTGGGCCATTGTTAAAGGACTGATCAATGGTGAATTAGAGTTTTGAGCCATGTATAACATTCGTGGCATGGTGTCACCATGAATCATGTTCTGGAATGCTGAGAAAAGACTGAAGTGAGCTAAAGCTCGAAGGTTTAAAGTTTCTTGAAACCAAACTCATTTAATGATATTCATGAGTGGATGACGTATTGTGGTAACCAGTCTTTGGTATTATTCCAATTCCATTGGTGATCCCAGGGGCTAGATAGCTGCCCAGATGCTGAGCTTTTTGGAAAACAGTCATTAGTATTCAGCATGAGTCTGGGGAGCGATCATATACAGCACATCATGTATTTTCAAAGCTCCAAATGGTGACCAAACAAGGAGGAGAGGTTTAAGATTTCCACATAAAATTAAAAAGTTGTATTAGGCTGAGGAGAGAAGCCAGATTTTGCTGCAGTCTAGGACTTTCATAGGATCCCATAGAACTGGAATCTGACCTGAGCATGAGAGTCAACTTTGAAGTGACAAGATACAAAGCAAGCTTAGAGTTGCAGAGATGTCTCACTTCTAGATGCTATACTATTGGTACAGTTACTCTTATTATCATGAACAACAATAATATTAACTACAATCTCTTTGGACCTACTGTGTATCAGGTGCTGTTCTAGGTGTTTTACAGACATCAACATATGTAGTTTAGTTTTCCAGAGCAATCTTTCATGGTATATTGTATTATGTCTCTTTCAAGGTGAAAAAAAACTATATAGCACGTGTACTGTAGCATTGGACACACAAAAATTCCCCAGTGGGGGTGCACATGAAGCATGCTCTTGCTGCCTCTTCACTGCTCCCATAAATCTACTCAGTGGGACTAGTTCTTCCCTTGGTCTGGATGAAAACCTCACCCCCATGAACTTTCTGATTTCTCTTAAGTAATATAGTTCTCCAGTCACTTTCTCGAGTAAATTGAAGTTGCAAAATATGGTCCCAATTCACTAATAAAAATATCCAGTTCCATGTCATATAATCCAGCTCTGAATTTGATTGAATGTTGAGTCTGCTCTTCCTCCTATGGGTTGGGCAGGGAACCTGTTCATGGGAAAGGGTGTATGATAGTCCTCTTAGAGCTGTCCCCACCTGGGCATTCTTTGTTTCAGGAACTTGGGGAAAGCAGAGAGGAAAGGGGACCAGGAAATTTACTACTTGACAAGTACAGTTGTTTCTCCATGTTCATGGGTCTCTCCTACATGGATTCAAAATATATGGAAAGAAATTGCAGACTCCTCTTGTCATTGTTCCCCCAACAATGCAGTCTTACAACTGTTTACATAGCATTTACATTTTGTTAGGTGTTGTAAGTAATCTAGAGATGATTTCAAGTATTTAGGAGGAGATATGTAGGTTCTGTATAAATATGATGCCATTGTATACAAGGGATTTGAGTCGCCTCAGATTTTGGTATTTGAGGGATTCCTGGTACCAGTCCCCATGGATACTGAGAGATGAGGACACTGCTGTGGCGTTATACAATGTCAGCATTCTTTAGCTCTTGCAGGTGCTTAAGGTTGACTTTTCTTCTAGGGCATTTTCATAGGTTGTTTGGAGGTACAGGCCCATCACCCCTTTGTCTGCTGGGATCTTTTACCTATAAGGCCAGTATGGGAGAATTGTTTACCTCCCTGTTGTTCCTTCTTCAGTTCTTGGGATGCTGGCTTATCACAGCTGATAAGCCCCTATTGTGTCCCTTCAGCACACAATCCTCTTAGATGGATCCCCATGCCACTCTCTCAGACATGGTTCACCACATTCTCTGTCTTGAGACACTTTGGAGGTGCAGGATGACTCTCTATGGTGAGAGTAGCTCAGCTGCCTGTTATGGAAAATGGAATGGTGTCTCCCCTAAATTCATATGTAAAAGTCCTAACACCTTGTGTGACTGAATTTGTAAATAGGGGCCATAAGGAGGTAATTAGGGTTAAACGAGATGATCAGGGTGTGTCATAAGAATTATGTTTCATAAAAAGTCACAACAGAGAGCTCTTAATCTTTTTCCATGTATACTCAGAGTAAAGGTTGTCTGAGGACAGAAAAGCCACATGCAAACCAGGACAAGAGTCTTTACCAGAAACCAAATCCTCCTGGACTTGATCTGGGCTGTCCAGCCTCCAGAACTGTGAGAAATACATTTCTATTGTTTAACCCACTCTTTCTGTGGCTTTTTGTTATGGCACCTTAAGCTGACCAAGAGATGGCCTCTTACCCTTTAGATTTGTCAGGTGTGAGCCAGGTACCAGTCCACAGTGCTGTTCAAACTTCTAGGCACAGGTATTCAATCCTTTGAGAGGTTCCCATGCAGCCCTTCTTCCTAGGCCATTGGCAGGCCTGGTGTTAGTGTTGCCACATGAACAGCTCTCCGCAAAGAAACCCTTCTCTAATTATCGAGCACCAACTCTGTTAAATCCATAAAGTGGGTGAAGGGTTTTGGGCTTGCAACATTGGTTTGACAGTCCTGGTCATACACTCTCAGTCTTGTATTGTCTTGTTGTCAACTTGAACTTCTGTTTTCACATCATTTAATGCATAGCTAGTAGGAAGCTAGAACCATGTCTGGAGTCCAGGTCTCCCTAACTACAATTTGTGGTCTCTCCTCAACTCTAATCCCATGAATACTCTGAAATATAAGGATTCCAGACCATAAGTTCATGAGGGTAAGGCAGTGCCTGTTGAATTTACCACTGTTCCTTGATGCCCAGAGTGCTCAGCACATGGACCAGGCTATGTGCCCATGTCAGAGAGGGGTGCTGCCCATGCTTTGGTAGGTCACCCTTGGCCTAAGCAAAAAGAAAAAAATATCAGAGTGGCATGGTTAGACCAAGGGACTGAAGGTCATTGCTGCTTTAGTTTCATCCCTAATGTGCTGTGTGACCTTGGCAAAAAAACTTTCCTCTCTCTCTAAACAAGCTGGGTGAGGGAGTCTGATGGCTAATGCTTTGCATATGTATGTTGCAAGGAATAATGAGACAGTCTCTGTGAAGCATATTTTGTCATTGGGGGACAAACAGTATAAGCTATTTATTTTAAGAGACTGGCTTAACCGGCTCATCCAGCTTAGCTGAGAAACACCCAGAAACACCCCCAGCTATTGTCTCTGCAGAAGCAACAAAGTTTAATTAGCTATCCTTTTCGGCCTAGAGGCCAGTTAGCACCCTCCAAACAGAAGGCAAGAAGCTGTTTTGGCATTCAAGGTCCCAATCATGTCTATCCATGATTGTCTATCAAACTTATTCATCTAGCAACCCTAATGGAGCCCTCCATCTGCACTGGGCCTAGTGGTGGGGCCTGTGGGGGGGCAATACTGGAAACGCACTGGTCTCTGCATCTCTATCATCCCCACAGTGCTGCACCCCTCAAACCAGCAACTTCCACCTATCTCTGTTCCCTCATGCAGTCAGTCCTTTGTGCCTGGAATGGCCTTTTCCCTCCTCTGCCTGTCAATGCTTCTCCTTCAAGTTCTCTCTGTGAGGTTTTCATGGACTCCATTTCATGGCTCTTTGCTCCCTGGCCCTCTAAGATGTGAGGACAGAGAATGTGGCCCAGATTCAACATTCTTGGTGTTGCAGGTGGCCGTTCCCATTCCTGGCCGTTCCTGGTGGGCCGTTCCCACCAGGACTGATGGTCCTGGGTTACTAAGTCAGACAGGATCTCGAGTTTTAGGTGGTTTCACGCATGCATCATATTCAGGACCCAAATCTAGTAAGCCAGCATTCCATCAGGCCTCTGAGGGGCAGCTGTCATCCTGACAAGCTAATGTTTTAAAAGAAAAAGTAAAATGTGTTTAGCTTGCAGAAAGATGGGGTCCAGGGTGTAGAGAAGGTAAAAAAGACCCTAGGAAGCTTGCACGATAATGAGATGAGAAGAATAACACTTTGGTATTTTTTAGTGTTTCCTCTCTTAAAGGAGAACCAGAAAATTTGGCTTATTTTCCAACTCGAGGAAGCATAGGCCATGAACCCACAGAGGGTAGGTGGCTGAGTCGGGGCCGGCTACTGACTGCCTGCTTGGACACAGTCTCATGATCCATCTGCCATGGAATACAGCTATCCCAGCAAAAAGATTACAGTGTCAGCCTGTGCGTCCTGTCTTGAATCTTCCTAAGAGTACTGGCCACTTTCCTTTCTATCTCCACCTTTAAAGTAGAGAGTATTAATAGAGCATTTGAAATACAACAGGACTAATAGGTCTGGAGATGATGGCCACTGAAAAGACAGTTTGTTACTCAGTTCCTGAGAGGAGGAGGCATGCATGAGGGCTCTCTGCAGAAGCACCAGGGTCAGTCAGGAGGCAGAGGGAGCAGGAGGAAAATGTGGACGAGAACTTCTATTGTGGTTGCCAAGGGAAGGATCAAGTGAGGTAGGGCACATTGATCCAGATTTGATTTAGTTGAATAATTTTATCAGGCTCTAGGGTAAAGAGGCCTTCCTTGTTGTCTAGTCCCTCACTGCTGGGTGACTTAGGGCAGGTACAGAATGGCCTGGAAGGATAAAGGGGATTACCTGGGGATATACACTCTGACTTTGTTGGTTTGCATCAAAAAGAAATTCAGAGTAAGCCCTCTCTGAATTGTCTGGGGGCAGCCCCTGCTGGTGCAGCAAAGCCCCAGATTCAAGACATAAGAATACAGAAAATTAAAAAAAAAAATTAACGTCCCTCCTTATATCTAGGTGTAGGAATCTGTACCTTAAGTCTGGCTTTTAGTTTCTGGTGGCCTGGAGTCCTGCATGGATAGGCAACTTCCTCCTGCTGTTTCCTAGCAGTTCCAGGGRGCCTTGAGTGGGGAGATCTGGGTAAAGCACAAATCCTGCCCAGCACCTGCCAGGGCATGGCACACGGGACTCTGCACTGTAGAAAGAGTAGTTGTGGTGCAGGTAGGAGCCACTGGGAGGTGCATATGAGGCAGGGATGTGTATGGTGGTACAGGAAACCAAGGACTCTTTGAAGGATAAGCACAGCACTCAAGAGCTCAGGTGGGGAGTTTCCCTGTGCCTGGGATTATTACACCTTACTGAACATCAACTCATAGAGAGGTGAAAATGGATTGTATGAGGTTCTTTTTGGCCATGGTGGCTTAAAGGGTTGCATTTGGAGTGTCCCGGAGGTTTTTGCTGGAAGCAGTGATGTCACATGGCTGGAATGAGCCCACAGCAGAAGTTGGTCATGGGAGTGTCCAGAGAGATGAGAAGAAAAGGAAATGAAGAGAAATTAATCCCCATCTGCAAAGGGACCAAGGCTTGCTTTCTTTAATCATCTTTAATGCTGTCACATCTCAAGCAAAGATCTCTATGAAGCCTCAGCCACGGGAGTCTGCAAGGATGAGCTGTAACTTTCATAGAAAGATGCATCCTGGGGAGCCAACTTTAGTGCAATGGCCCTCAGAGTTCAAGCTCAGATACTTCCTGGACTGTCACTGGAAATCTGGTGCATTGCTGAAGGAACAGTGTAAAGGAGTCAGAGAAGATCTGAAGTGCTTCCTCCCTTTGACAGCCACAATCAGGAGTGATCAGTAACACACCTGGCAGCAACATGATTAAGGCTGTGTATCTCCCTGAGCAGGACAGTTCACAGTGCCCTGGGTGAAAGATGCTGGGCCGTCAGTCCCTGGAGAGTGGTTCTCTTGCTCAACCATCCAGCCCTCTACAAATGGGTTTATGCCTACAAGGAAGGCTGTTTGCTACCCAGAAGAAACTCGTGGCCTAAGGGGTGCATTAGAAAAGAGGCTCGTTTAGGTTCTGGTTTTAGAGGTTTAAGGGCATCGTACCATGTTGACTTGGCTCTGGTGAGGTCCACCTGGTTGTGACATGTGGCTTTATGGCAGGAACATGTATGGAAGGAAGAAATCACATGATAAAACAGGAAGCCAGAGAGCAAGGAGGGGCCTCGCTTGCTCTCTTATAATAAACTTCTCTTTTGAGAACTAATTGGGGTCTCATGAGACCTACATTAATCCTTCTGAGATTGGTGTTCCCAATGACCTAATGATCCCTCACAAGGCTCCGCCTCTTAAAGATGCAACACCTCCCAATATCACCACACTGGAGACCAAGGTTCCAACTCATGAAACCTTGAGGAACACACTCAAACCATATTCAACCATAGCTTGGGGATATAGGCTAACTACCAAGAATTGAATGGGGTATGGCTGTGTCAGAGTGGTAGACATGCAGACAGCTGTGGGGCCATGAGAAGTGGGCAGAGAAAGGAAGGTCAGGTCAGAGAACAGCATGTGGGAAGGTCAGAGGTATCAGCTCAGAGTCTACAAAAGATCACATGGCAGATGTTTTGGGCTTTACAGACTACACAATCTATGTCCAGTTCCTTGACCACTTTTACGATACAAAAGCAACCACAGACATAAACTTATGGGAATGAATTCTGTGAATAAAACTTTATTGTAACAGCAGGCAGTGGGAAGGATTTGCTGGTGAGCCATAATTTGAAAAGCCCTGGCTTAGAGTCAGTGATCCCCAGGCAGATGTGAGCAGGATGCAGAAGAGGAACAGGGCTGGAGGGAAAATATGCTACCTGGATGCTGCAGGCTGCTCTGCTGGGCAGCGTGGGCTCTCCTGAGCTCCGCTCCTGCCGCTGCTCTCGCCCGAGCACCGCCTGCTGCCTTCCTGCTGGGCGCCTTCCTGCTGGGCTGTCAGTGCACGCTGGCTTGCAATCTTGCAAACCAGTTGGGCACAAAAACACAAGCCAGTCAAACTGAAACAAAGTTTTATTTTGTGAGAGGCCGTGTGCGTCCCCTAACAAGCCGGTCCACACACGTGTGTCTCTACCGGCGCCGGGGGCTTGGACCTCCCC